CATTTTCAGACCAAAGCATGAAGCTACTTGGCTTTTTGGTGTTCTTTGTTTTTTCTCTTGATTCACAGGTGGTGGTCACCAACACAATTCCACACGAAATCCAGAAACTCCAGTGCCCCAAGATTAAAACTGTGGATATCAGCATGATCCTTTCAGAAGCAATTCGTCGGATTCACAACGGGGAGTCCATGTCCTACCTTTTCAGAAACATCGGTTTAGATGACTGAACGCTGTCCATCTGTACAGCTCTGAGGGCCAAACTGGAAACGTAGGAATGACACCGTGCGGGCTCACGCTTGCTGGCGTCTTTCCTGCTCAGAGCTTTCCTGCTCTGCCTATCCCTGTCCCTGTCCCCGTACCCCTCTTCTTGTTGATTCCTATGAAGATAGACCAACTTTTTATGTCAGGTCAGGCGTGTGTGAGTTGGGGGGCAATTTTTATAAAAGAAATACTTTATTCTCCTCTTAAATAAAATAAGATCTGGTTGTTTTAGTTTAACTATGTAAGAAATAACTTAGAATAAGATATTTAAGCTCACAACCTTTTTCCAAAGTTGCTTGAGCCAAATGCTTTAAAAAGTTAATAAAATAAAATGGTCTACTCTATGGTACCTGCAGTTGAGAAGCCAAAAAGCTTATACTGTTGAATCCGGTAAATGACGGTTTTAGAAATGTTTTTATAGACAAGCCTATGGAATATGTGATGCTATTTATTTTCTGCAACTGAAGAACGAATAAAAACTTGTGTTTGTGTGTGTTTTTTAAAACTTTGTGTTTTGGAAACTGTTTTATAACTAAAATAAAATGAAAGCTGAATATTCATGCTGTGGATTTTGAAACTTCATTAGCTTCCTTTCTCTTCTGCAGCTTTTTGGGGATGCAGTTGCCTCTCGGGGGTGTAATATTCCCTGTTCTGACACTTTGTCAAAGACCCTGAAAGTTCCTGACGCGGAGCTGCGTGACTGGGGCGGGAGGGGTTTGATCTCAGGACGAGGCCGCGACACAGGGCAGCGAGGGCGCAGGCTGCCATCCCGTCTCCATGATGTGGCTCCGCTCCCTTTTCCACGCACCGCCATTCTTGACATGGGTCATGCCACTGCATGCTCTGGGGGAGCGTGGTTGATGTGACTCTTGTCAAGTACTGTCTGTCCTGGAGGTTGGAGTTTAGAACTCTGAGCTTCCACTTTGGAGTCTGTCGGACTCGGCGCCCCCGGACTGGCGCCCAGGAGTCAGGCCGCGTGTCCTGCCACTGAACTTGGTTCATGGAGGAAAAAATGTAGACTTTCTCACAAGGATTAATTTTTCTTTCTCCCAAAACACCTTAAACCTTTGCTTTCTGCCGGTGGTAGAATCTGGAATAAAACAGCCGTTGATGTAGTGTGTGGTATTTGTAGTGTTAAGATCATTGTTGTTGCTATGTTGGGCTTTCTGGGTGCTGCACAGAAAGCAGCGTGGCTCTGGTGGCTCGCCCAGGGCAGCCGGGCCCTGTGTGTGCAGAAGCTCCAAGCACTCTGCTTCTGGAAGCTGCCTGAGTGTGTGTGGGCCCCACACACCCCTCCACCCTCAGCTCAGCCAGGGGCGCCACCCCACGCCCCCATTTCACTTGTAAGGAGACAGCTTGGGAGAAAGGTGTTCACCCGAAGTTTTCAAATCCAGTTAATGATAGAGCTGTTTATTTGAAAAAGTGCCCTTGCTTTTCGCAAACCTGTTCCTGGAAATGGGAGCTCGCGATCTTCACCCATGAGCGGCTTGCAGAGCACTGCTTGGATGGCTTCTCGGCCAGCGCGGCACTGGCCAGCAGCAGGTGTCATCCTCTCTCCAGTTGCCACATTTGGGAGAGGAGCTTTGGGAACAGGCTGTCACTACCCAGGAGGGGAGCCTGCCTGGGGCGCCAGACCCACAATCCTGTGAAATGGGCTGCAGAAGCTTCAGCTGCAAATCTCCTATCTCGACTTGCTGTGTTTGGGTTTTATCCCGCCTCTGGCCCTGTGGGGGCTGTGTGCCATTTTCTGTTATAGATGACAATTGAAGTCACCGTGTAGTTTGACTTTATTTTTTTGATTTTTAAAATTTTTATTTTTTAATTATTTTTGAGATAGGATCTCACTCTGTCACCCAGGCTGTAGTGCGGTGGTGTCATCATAACTCACTGTAACCTCAAACTCCTGGGCTCAAGCGATCCTCCTACCTCAGCCTCCCCAGCAGCTGGGACTACAGGCATGTGCCACCACGCCCTGCCTAGTTTTGCTTTAGGGCAAGTGACACACTGAGTGGCCTGAGGGCACATCCTCAGGTGGCTTTGTTGGCACAGTGGCCCTTCCAGGGATGGCAGTGTCACACTAGCAGGGAGGATTATCTGCTCTAGAATTCGTTTGGGAGAACATGTGCTTGTGAGCTCCTTCAGGGGAGCCTCCTGCTGCCCGTGTCCAGTGGAGTCTGACCTCCCTGGGTTTTCTTGGCATGTCATCTTTCATGAAGAAAAGCCCCACTTACAGAAATGGATGAAAACGTGTAGCAGGAGTGTTTTCCTCTGAGTGATGAACTTGGGTAAAGCCAGGATCCGCCACACCCACACAGACTCGGAATCCCTGTTAGCTCTGGAGGGAGGTGACGGGAGCTGGGGGGAACCCACGCCTGGCGGGAGCCCCAGGCACTGCGGGGTGCGGAGCTGCTCTTCTGTGTGGGGCCTAGGAGAGAGGCCAGAGGATGGGGAGAAGGCCCTGGGGCAGGAGGACGGAGGCCCTGGGGTGGCTGGGGGCCGTTCGGGCTCGGGCGTGCTGGGAGCGCTGAGACTCAGGGCCACAGGAGCGTCCAGTGCAGAGGACGCCTACTTTCCCCCCCGGAGGCGGCCATGGAGACCAATTTTCCCAGGTATTGTGGGATTTGCTTCAGTCAGAGAAACCCAGACTGCTGTCACTGCTTAGTGACCAGAGATAATGGGGGAGGTGAACCCCAAAGTTCTAAGAACAGGAAAAAGGCTAATAGTTTCCCATTCCGATTGTGATGTCTTTACCTGACAGACAAACATGGGTTAGAACAATGCTCTCGGGGCGTCAAGAACCCCAGATGTTGCTGAGGGGCATGAGTGGATGGATAGCCACCAATTCAGCCATTGAGTGCCAGAGCATTAGTCCTTTGGCTCATAACTTACTACCTCCAGCGACCCCACTGTGACCAACGAGCCCGAGTCAGAATGAAGCTTCCTCCTCCCGGGCAGCACTCTTTCCCATCGTCTCAGGATCTCCTGACCAAAGGCCCGCCAGCCCCTGGGCGTGGGGTGGAGCGAGTCGGCTTTGGCTTGGCTCCTGTCATCCTCACTCAGAATCTGAACTTGGAGGGGCCGGCCTGCCTGCACAGCCTTTGGGTGGTACTATTTGAGCCTACAAGTTTCAGGTTGTCTGTGGTCACTAATAATGGAAACTGCATTTATTTGTTAAGCACCACTGCATGCCAAGCATTGTCCTGTCCCTTTACCTCACTGTCCCCCGTTGTGACAGCATCTCTATTTGGTGTACGAGGAAACGCCAGAGAGGTGAAGTGCTCTTCCCGCTGGTCAGTGTCAAGATTTGGACACAGGTCTGTGTTCCCAGAGCTGGCCCCTCTCCTTTGACACCACACCTCAACCGCACACCCCATGGTGGTTGTACTCCTGCAAGTGCATGAGACACGTTATTACGTGAAATATTAATAATACCCATTGATGTGAAATCTGCATTGCTAACATGGCACATTAACTGCTGCTACCTTAGGACCGTGTAGGCTTAAAATAAGCTCTCCCGTGGTGCCCCGTGAGCATGGTTTTCTTTATTTTAGGGAACTCTTGAGGATGACCCGAGTTTTCTTTGTACTTCAAAAAATAATAAGCTTGCAGATATCAGCAAAATTGGTTGAGTCGGGAATTCCAAAAGGGTGTTGCCCAACAAAAGCAGAGAATAAACTGGCAAAAACTGTCAGAATCAACTGTTGGAGTGGCACTCTGGGAACTTATTAAAAGTTTACACCAACCAAGTTAAATGTTTACTCAAGGAGAAAAACCCACTGAATCCCAGTTAGAGCTCTGTGGCATGTTAACTCGCCCTGGCGTGTGGCCCACTGCCAGCTGCCTCGCAGACGACAGCCCCACTCCTAGTGTGGATTCCTGGTACCAACCTGAGCAGAATGGACCTTGTTCTCAAAGAATTATGGCCGCTTGTTGGGACCTGTTTGGTGGCTCCTTGAAGGACTGGCTCAAAGGACTTGCCTGTATTTTGTCTAACTTGGAACTTTCCCAGAGTAGAGCAGGATAATTGGTGAAGTTTAAAGGCAAAAGTATTAGCCATTATCTTTGGGGGCAAACAATAAAACCAAAACACTTGGGAAGAAAGGTTGGAAAATGAGTTGCTTTAGAAAGAAAGGGCCTTGGAAAGCTCCAACCCATTCCTAGAAGGCCACGTGACTGCATATTGAATGCATGCTCAGAAAAGACCTGAGAAAGCCCTCAGTCCCCTTTCTGGCTGTCAGGCCTGGCACAAGCAAGAAGTCTTGAGGGTTAAGGCAGAGTTGTGAACTGCGGACTGGGAGACTTTTTTTCTTCATTTTTCAGTTTCAGATTCTTAAGAAAGTCTCTGATGGCCACGTGGTGGCTCACACCTGTAATCCTAGCACTCTGGAGCCAAGGTGGGCAGATTGCTCAGTCAGGAGTTCAAGACCAGCCTGAGCAAGTGCGAGACCCTGTCTCTACTCTAAATAGAAAGAAATTAATAGGCCAAGTAAAAATACATAGAGAAAAAATTAGCCGGGCTGGTGGCGCATGCCTGTAGTCCCAGACTCGGAGGCCTGAGGCATAGGATTGCTTGAGCCCAGGAGTTTGAGGTTGCTGTGAGCTAGGCTGACGCCACGGCACTCACTCTAGCCTGGCAACAAAGTGAGACTCGTGTCTCCAAAAAAAAAAAAAAGAAAGAAAGAAAGTCTCTAATGACCACTCAGCTAACTGAACAGAGAATTCAGTTGTCACACATGACAAAGAATAAAGACTTTACAAAACCAGTTCAGATGGGCACTACACAGACATAAACAGCTACAAGCAGCAACAAACCCCAGGGAGCAGGGAGATTCTGATATCCAGACTTCTGACATTACAATATTTAAAATATCTAATTCTCAACAAAACATTCTGAGGCATATGCTATGGTTAAATTTCAGAATCTGAAATTTGTAACTATTTTGTAGTTACAATAGTTACTATTGTAACTATTTTGGCAAGTGGGACTTTGGGGAGGTGTTTAGGCCATGAGGACCACCCTCATGGTGGGATTGGTGACCTTATGAAAGGATGAGTTCGGTCCCCTCTTGCCCTCTCACCTTCTTGCCTTCTGGCATGTGAGGATGCAGCAAGAAGGCATTCTCCAGGTGCCAGCACCCTGACCTTGGACTTCCCAGCCTCCAGAACTGTGAGCCAATAAATGTGCTTATTATAAAATTTGTGGTGTTCTGTTATAGCAGCACAAAACAGACTAAGAGCATGTAAAGAAACAAAACGAGCATATACACGGGGAAAAAAGAGATGGCTAGAAACTGGTCCTTGAGGAAGACCAGACATTGGATATACTAGACAAAGACTTTAAATCTCCGATAGTCAACACATTCAAAGAGCCAAAGGAAACCATGAGAATTATGCCTCACCATAATAGAGAATATCAATAAAGACATAAAAATAACAAAAAACAAGTAAAAGGCCATGCGTGGAGGCTCACGCCTATAATCGTAGCACTCTGGGAGGCTGAGGCGGGTGGATTGCTTAAAGTCAGGAGTTCGAAACCAGCCTGAACAAGACCCCGTCTCTACTAAAAACACAAAGAAATTAATTCACCAACTAAATATATATATATATATAAAAATTAGCCAGGCATGGTGGTGCATGCCTGTAGTCCCAGCTACTCAGGAAGCTGAGGCAGTAGGATCGCTTGAGCCCAGGAGTTTGAGGGTTGCCTGTGGAACTGGCTGCGGCCACTCGCGCTCAGGCTCTAGGCCTGGACAACAGAGTGAACGTCTGTCTCAAAAAACAAAAAAAAGAAAACGCAAGTGAACCATTCTGCACTTGTCAAGAATACCCAATATAAAATGAGAAATTTTACTAAGGGGTTCACAAGAATTGAGCGAGCAGAGAAGTGGCTTGAAGGATTCCGAGATGATCATTGAGATTATTTAGACTGAGAAACAGAAAAGGAAGAGAATGAGGAAAATGAAGACAGCCTAACGACAGCGTGGAACGCGTCAAGTGGCCCCGTAGATTGCCACTGCCGGAGTCCAGAAAAGAAGAGAGATACGAAAGAGCCGCGAGAAAATGTTTGAAGAAATACATGGGCTGAAGACTGTCCAAAATTGATGAAAGAATCTGTATAATGTGAAGGAAGCTCAATTAGCTGTAGAGGTAGGACAGTTCCTCCAGGGCTAATGACCGCGCACGTTCAGGCCGGGCGCGGTGGCTCACAACTGTGATCCTAGCACTCTGGGAGGCTGAGGTGGGAGGATCCCTTGAGGTCTGGAGTTGGAGACCAGCCTCAGCAAGAGACCCTCTCTACCAAAAAATAGGAAAAAGTAGCTGGGCTTGGTGGTATGCGCCTACAGCACCACTGGTGGAACCTGGGCAGGGCTGAGGTGGGAGGATCGCTTGAGCCCAGGAGTTGGAGGTTGCAGGGAACTGTGATGATGTCACTGCACTCTAGCTGGGGGGACAGAGCGAGACTCTGTCTCCAAAAAAGCAACCAGGACACTATACAATAACTTGAATCCACATGAAGAATAAAGAACACCAGCAAAGATAATTATACATAAATATAAAAGTATTAATATGTTTTTGATTTGTAACTACTTTTTTCTATATGATTTAAAGGACAATTACATAAAACACTGATCATAAACTTACATTGATAGGAATACAATGTATAAATATATAATTTGTGAAAATACAACATAGTGGGCATGGAGTTATTAGAAACAAAGTTTCTGAAACTATTGAAACTAAGTTGATAATTAGAATTATTTGATATTAGGGTTTTCCAGAGAAACAGAACCGATAGGAGATTATATATATGTATATGTACTTATTTACTTATGTGTATATATACCTACAGAGAGAGGAAGAGAGACAGAGCACTGTTGATTTATTAATATTTTAAGGAACTGGCTCATGTGATTGTTGGGACTGGCAAGGCCACCATCTGCAGGACAGGCCTGCAGGCTGGAGACCCAGGGAAGAGTTGATGTTACAATTTTCAGTCCAAAGGCAAAATTTATCCTTCCTTTCGGGACCTCAATCTTTGCTCTTAAGGCCTTCAACTGATTGGATGTGGCCCACCACATCATGGAGGGCCATCTACTTACCCAAAGCCTACTGAATAGACCTTCATAGCAACATGTAGCTCGGTTTGACCAAACACTGGGCACCACGGCCCAGACAAGTTGTCACACAAATTAATCATCACATGAGGATATTAATTATAATCCCTAGGGCAACCACTAAGAAAATAAGTAAAAACTATATAGTAAAAGGAAGGAAAGGGAATCAAATGGTAGATCAGACTGTGTGTATGAAACACGGAAGAAGGAAGCAGTGGAAGAGTTGAGGAAGGAAGAGATGTGAGCGTGGAAAGCAGGTGGCAGTGTCGCAGTGGCCCAGTTCAGTGACCCACAGCCTGCGCCGTCCTTCCGCGCTCACCCCGCTGGTTTGCTGAGTCCAGCCTCGGTCACAATTCCGAGGCACTTAAGAAAGAAAATGAACTCACAGACGTTCCCTCCCCGCCCACGACACAAATGGGCCCGCCGAGCCCCGCACACCCCCCTTGCCCGGGGCGGTGCTCTCGCGTCTGGGGCCTCTCGGAGGGCCGAGCTTACAGGAGCGTGTGCGGCGGCTTCCGGCTGAGAGCGTGTCTGTGTCCGTGGGTGGGCTGCTCGGAAGGGGTGGGCCCGTGAGACCGCGCTGGGTCGGGCGAGGCGGGAGTGCGGGTGTGATTGGGCTTTGGGGGCATCTCCCCCCATGGGTGTGGCCAGGCTCGGGCACATGTGGGAGGTACTCCTGCCTCTGTGTCCCCCGCTGCCGGCCTCCCCGTCCCCATCCTTCAGAGCAGAGCCAGAGTCACTGCTTCTTTCCCTAAGACTTTGCTCAGAGAGGGGCAGGCACCTGTAAATGGTTTATTTCCTTCTGAGACCCAGCCAAGGAGAAGGGACCAAATGCGGTCGGCTCAACTGCTTCACCCTAATGAGAGAGGCGGACTCAATCCGGGCAGTGTCCGCTGGGCCCCTTGGCCCGTGTGCAGCGACCTTTCGATTTACAGTACATTTCGAGCCACCACTTGGGAAGCGAACGCCACGTGAGGTCGGTGGGAGGCTGGGGTGGGTGGCAGGGTGACAGGCTGAGCCTGCCTGGGTTTACTGTCAGCAGCGACTTGGCTGTCTCCCTCCTCCGCCTGGCCCTGCGTGCCGGGGTTAATCTTCACCCCCACGCCAGGGCTACCCAGTAACAGGCCCCGCGGGGCGCAGGCCAGCGCGTTCTCGGTAGCAGCCGCACACTCATTAACACTTCTGGAAGGGCCGCGTGTCTGGGTAAACTCCAAATGCTTTGCGAAGTCACCGGCCGTGTCGCCGAGCAGAGGCACGAGCCCGCTGGCCAGCCCGGCTGTGTGCGCGGACTGAGTTAGGGAGCGAGCGTCAGGCCAGGATGGAACCCAAACGGAACCAGAGCCATCGCTGTCACCACGATGGGGACACTGGGGCCCGGTCTGAGCCGAATCCAGCTCTGCCCCTTCCGTGACTGTGATGACAGGTGGCTCGGCCTCTGGGCCGCATTCCCCGCGTTTCCTTGGCTGGGACCAGGCACCGCCGGCTGTGTGGCTCGGCTGCGTTGGGCACGAAACGGGATCACGTGCGGGACAACCAAGCGTGGGCCTCGGTGTGTGGTGGGTGCTGGTCCCTCCTGGTCCCAGGCAGAACTGGGGCCCTAATGGGTGGCTGAGTTGAGGGGCTCGGGGCTGTTTCACTTCTAGGAAAAGGGAGCAGTGGTGTCGGCAACAGGACTTCATTGTCCGACGTGGGGACATATCCGAGACAGGGCTGTCATGGCTGGAAGCCAGCCACAATGACAGAGTCCCCATCCCAAGTCCCTCCGGCCCACTCACAGCCCGACAGCTCTGGCAGACGGGGCTGCCGTGTGGCAGGGTCCCCAGAGGCGAGGCGTCCATCCCAGCACGCTGTGCTTCCTCTGCACGCTAGACGTGCAAGCCGCCCTTCCGGCAACTCTGCCTTCCTTCCCGGGTCAATTCGGGTTGTCTCGGACCCACTACGCTGCGGTTATTTCCCCAGTCCCTCTGGGGGAGGAGGCGAGCCCGCAGCGGGGAGGGAGCTGCCCTGCCCACCGCCACCCGCCGGTTTAATTATCAATGAATGCCTTGCCAGGAAGCCCTTTGCAGCCCGGTTCGCCCCTCAGCTCCTCTGCTCGGAGCTGGCACCGCGGCGACAGCCATGGCCAACGACTCCACCAGCGACCTCCACGCTCCCGGGCCGCAGCTGAGTGCGGCTGACATCGGTGTCATCGCCGCGTATTTTGCCCTCAACGTGGCCGTGGGCGTATGGGTGAGGGGCCTGTGCCACCTGGGCTCTTGGGCGGGTGCCTGGGATGGGAACTGGGTCTGGCACGGCCCTGCGGGTCAGTATCAGTCTCACCTGGTGGCCACGGCCCGCTCTGGCCCTCCTGCCGGCCTGCGTAGATTTGCTCGGAGACCTTGCCCGAGCCCCTTTCTCCCTTTGGGCAACGGCTCGTCCACCGGCAAAGCGAGGAGGAGGAAGGTCTTTCTAATGGCTGGGGCCCCAGGTGCGGCCTGCTGTCCTCCTGGTCGCGTTCTACACGGTGTCGTGTGTGTCCGGGGCGAGAGTTGGCCTGAACAACAGAATCCAGGGTTCCCGGGCTGCACCCAGAGCCCTGGACCGTAGTGCGGAGGCGGGGAGGGCCCGAGGGCCTGGGGGTCTGTGTTTTCAACAAGCCCCGGGGAGAGGGCCGTCCCACCGCCCAGCCTCCTCCCTCAGCCAGCTCTGCCCCCCGCGGCAGAGGGGGAAGTGACTCGACCCATCCAGGAGTCCAGGGGCAGCGGGCCGCCGCCCTGGGCAAGGCCCTGGGCAAGGCCAGCGCCGCGCTGCACACAGGCGGCTCTCTTTAGTCCGTCCGTGCGGCCGTGGGGCTTCCCTGACGGGAGGGCCAGCGCCACCCGTTCCACTTTGCGCGCTGCGTGTCAGGGCTGGGACCCGGGCGTGACCTGCTCGGCCCCACGGTGCGCAGGCTGGTGACCCAGAGCCCCGGGGTTCTCCTGGAGAGAATGAAGACCCTTCCGCTTTCTGTAGAGCCGGCCCTAAGCCCGAGCGCCCGCACATGGGGCGTGTGCCCTCAGCACTCTGGGCCTCAGTGATCGGTCAGATGGAAAACGCCTTGAATCCCACAGGCTGAGCTCCCTGTGAAAGGGGCCCGCACGGGACGGGACGCCGCCACTGGTTCTACAGCAGTAGTGTGAAGGTAGCAAGTGGTTGGTGGGGGCATAGAATCGGTCGTGGTATGGGAGGGGTGGTAGCATTGGTGTGGTGGGGGCCATTGGCAAATCGGTTTTGTGGTACTGAGGTGGTGGTAGGCCAGTGGTGGCGGGTGCTGGGGCCATGGGTCGTGGTACTTGGAGGTGGTTAGCATGTGTTGGTGGGCCCATAGCCAAAGTTGGTCGGTGGTACTGAGGTGGTAGCTGGGTGGGTTGGTGGCCATGGCCATCCAAAAGTCCTGGTACTTGAGGTGTGGTAGGCAGTGGTGGTGTACTTGAGGTGGGTGGTAAGCGAGTGGTGGGTGGTGGTGGGCCTGGCAAAGTCGTGGGTACTGAGGTGGTCGGCAGGGGGTGGTGGTGGCCATAAGCCAGTTGTCGTGGTTTACTGAGGTGTGTAGCAGTGGGTGGTGGTACTGAAGGGTTGTGGTTAGCCAGTGGTGGTGGTGGTGGGGCCATGGCAGTGGGTCGTGGTACTTGAAGTTGTGGTAAGCAGTGGGTGTTGCGTCTGAGTTGGGTAGCCAGTGGGTGGGTGGCGGTGGGCATGGGGCATGGTCGTTTGGTACTGAGGGTGGTGGGAGCCAAGTGGGTGTGTTTACTGAGTGGGTGGTAGGCAGTTTTGTTGGTTGGCCAATTGGGCACCATGGTCGTGGTACTGAGGTGGTGGTAGCAGTGGTCGTGGTACTGAGGTGGTGGTAGCAGTGGTGGTGGTGGTAGCCATAGCAGTTGTCGTGGTACTGAGGTGGTGGTAGCAGTGGTGGTGGTGGCCATGGCAGTGGTCATGGTACTGAAGTGGTCGTAGCAGTGGTGGTGGTGGTGGCCATGGCAGTGGTCGTGGTACTGAGGTGGTGGTAGCAGTGGTGGTGGTGGTGGCCATGGCAGTGGTCGTGGTACTGAGGGGTGGTAGCAGTGGTGGTGGTGGTTGCCGTGGCATGCCCACCGCCGCCCCCCGGTTTAATTATCAATGAATGCCTTGCCAGAAAGCCCTTTGCAGCCCGGTCTCCCCTCAGCCCTCTGGCTCGGAGCTGGCACCGCTCGCGACAGCCATGGGCCAACGACTCCACCAGCGACCTCACGCTCCCGGGTCCGCAGCTGGAGTGCCGGCTGACATCCCGGTGTCATCGCCGGGCGTATTTTGCCCTCAACGTGCCGTGGGCGTATGGGTGAGGGCCTGGTGGCCACCTGGCTCTTTGGCGGGTGCCTGGGATGGGGCGAACTGGGTCTGGCAACGGCCCTGCGGGTCAGTATCAGTCTCACCTGTGGCCACGGGCCCGCCTCTGCCCTTCCTGCCGGCCTGCGTAAGGATTTGCTCGGAGACCTTGGGCCCGAGCCCCTTTCTCCCCTTTGGGCAAGGCTCGTTCCTACCGCAAAGCGAGGCAGCGAGGAAGTCTTTCTAAACGCTGCCCCGGGGTGCCGGCCTGCTGTCCTGGTCGCGTTCTACACGTGTCTGTGGTGTGTCCGGGGGCGGAGAGTTGTCCTGAACAACAGAATCCAGCGGTTCCCGGGCTGCACCCCAGAGCCCTGGACCTTAGTGCGGAGGCGAGGCCCGAGCGGCCTGGGGTCTGTGTTTCAAACAAGCGGGTGGAGAGGGCCGTCCCACCGCCCAGCTCCTCCCTCAGCCAGCTCTGGCCCCCGCGGCAGAGGGGGAAGTGGATCGACCATCCAGGAGTCCAGGGCAGCGGGCCGCCGCCCTTGGGCAAAGCGCCCTGGGCCAAAGGCCAGCGCCGCGCTGCACACAGGCGGCTCTCTTTAGTCCGTCCGTAGCGGCCGTTGTGGCTTTCCCTGCACGGAGGGCCAGCGCCCACCGCTTCCACTCTTGCGCCTGGTGTCAGGTCTGGACGCGGGCGTGACCTGCCTCGGCCCCACGGTGCCGCAGGGGCTGCGTGACCCAGAGCCCGGGGTTCTCCTGGAGGAGAATGAAGACCCTTCCGCTTTCTGGCTAGAGCCGCGCCCTTAAGCCCGCAGCGCCCCGCACATGGGGCGGTGTGCCCTCACAGCACTTCTGGGCCTCAGTGATCGCTCAGATAAAACGCCTTGAATCCCACAGGCTGAGCTCCCTTGTGCAAAGGGGCCCGCACGGGACGGGACGCCGCGGGCCACTGGTTCTACAGCACGTATGTGAGCTAGCAGCTGGTGTGGTGGCCATGGCATCGGTCGTGGGTACTGGGAGGGGTTGGAGCACGTCGGTGGTGGTGGCCATGGGATCGGTTGTGCTACTGAGTGGTGGGTTAGCAGTGGGTGGCGGTGGCCGTGGGCATGCGGTCGTGGCTACATGAGGGTGGTAGCCAGTGGTGGTGGTTGGCCATAGCGTGTCGTCGTACTGATGGGTGGGCTAGCATGTGGTGGTGGTGGCCATGGCATCAGTCGTGGTACTGAGGTGTGGTAGCAGTGGTGGTGGTACTGAGGTGGTGGTAGCAGTGGTGGTGGTGGTGGCCATGGCAGTGGTCGTGGGTACATAGTGTAGCAGGTAGGTGGTGGTGGTGGCCATAGCGTTGTCGTGGTACTGAGTGGTGGTAGCATGGTGGTGGGTGGTACTGAGGTGGTGGTTAGCAGGGTGGGTGGTGGTGGTGGCCATGCACGTGGTCGTGCTACTGAGGGTTGGTAGCAGTGGTGGTCGGTACTGACGGTGTGGTAGCAGTGGTGCGTGTGGTGGGCCGATGGCAAGTGGTCGTGGTACTGAGGTGGGTGGTGCAGTGGTGGTGGTACTCGAGGGTGGTGGTAGCAGTGGGTGGTGTGTGCGCCATGGCAGTGGTCGTGTGGTACTGAGGTGGGTGGTAGCAGGGTGGTCGTGGGTAACTGACGCGTGGTGGTAGCAGTAGTGGCGTGGGTGGTAGGCCATAGCCAGTTGTCGGTGTACTGAGTTGTGTAGCAGTGGTGTGGTGGCCATGGCAGTGGTCGATCCTTACTGAGTTGGTCGCTACGCAGTGGTGTGTGGTGGCCATGGCAGTGGGTCGTGGTTACTTGAGGTGGGTAGCAGTCGGTTGGTGGTGGCTGGCCATGGCACGTGGTCGTGGTACTGAGGTGGTAGCAGTGTGGTGGTGGTGGGTTGCCGTGCAACGGTCATGTACTGAGGGTTTAGCAGTGGTGGGGTGGTGGCCATAGCAGGTGGTGTGGCTACTGAGGGTGGTAGCAGTGTGGGTGGTGGCCATGGGGCAGTGGTTGGTGGTACTGAGGTGTGTAGGGCAGTGCGTGGTAGTTGGGCCAATAGCCAGTTGGTCGTGTACTTGAGGTGGTGCGTAGCAGTCGTGTGGTGGTTGCCATGGCATGCGTCGTGGTACTGGAGGTGGTGGTAGCAGTCGGTGGTGGTGGTTGCCATGGCAGCTGGTCGGTGGTACTGAGGTGGTGTGGAGCACGTTGGTGGTTTGACCTGCTCGGCCCCACAAGTG